CTCTCTCTCTCTCTCTCTCTCTCTCTCTCTCTCTCTCTCTCTCTCTCTCTCTCTCTCTCTCTCTCTCTGTTACTTTATACTCCTTGATCCTGTAGGTCATGCAGTTCTGAGCTGCCTGAGTCCAATGCCTTAATTCCTGCCTGTAATCTGGGGCTCAAACCTCACTGGGGATAAAGACCACACAAAGGGAGAAGGGGAGTCCCAGGAGATGTTAAAACAAGTAAACACCTTTGTGTCTGGGGAGAGAAATAGCTGAGAAAGCAGCTTAGCGGGCTGGTCCCTGGTGTTCCTGGCCCGGCTGGCCCCCGGCCCGGGGCTAGCACGCCTCTGTGATCACAGCCCCCAGCCTGCTGGGCTCCAGCTTGCTCCCCCTACTCTTGCCCCTCCCGGTGGCCGAGAGCAGATTACTGAGAAGAACAATCTCTTTGTGACTGTGTAATTCCCTCCGTGACCGCGGCAGTGGGCAGACCCCCTCACCCTGATGCCGGAACCCTAGCAACCACGTAGGGGGGCCTCCTGGCCCTAGCAACTACCCCTCGACATCAAGTGTACCCGCTAATCCCTGTGGCTGGGGGACGAGTAGAAGCAGTGAGTTTCTGCAGAATGACTGGAGGGAAGGAAGATGAAGGGGCCTCCTCCAGGCCCAGGCCTTCAGCTTTGCCCAAGAGATGCTGGGCCTTCTCCATGGCATGAGAGGAGAACAGGGCCATGGACCCTTCACAGGTAAGAGGCCCCAGCATGGGGTTGAGAGCAGTTCGTGGTCTCATCAGCCCAGCTTTGGTTGAAGTAGTGTTCACCAAAGAGCTTGAGGCAGACTGGCTGTCAGCTGTGTGTGAATGTGACCCTCAGCTCCAGTCCTTCCACCTCACACAGACTGACCCTAAGCCTCCGTTCTCCTCAGTGGAGCCGCCATCTTCCCTGAAGACTAAAGGAATAAAGGAGGAGGCTGTTGGTTCTTTTTTGCCCACTCTGCCCTTGGGGAGGGAGGTGGCCCCAGCAAGCAGCACTGTTGCTGTCCAGTCAGGAGTGGGGAATAGGTTAAGTCAGCACCTACCACCAGCCGCCTTCCCAGGGAAGTGCTTCTTCCTGTAAGATGGTAAGTCTCTGTGTGCTGGGGGATCCTGAGAGGGATCTGGCAGAAAGCCTTCTCCCCACAGCAGCATCTCCTAGAGATCACTGACCCAGCTCCCAAGAAGGCTTGCCTTCCCAGATGGGCCACCTGCCATGATTCACCACCCATGGGCAGGCCTGAGAGGGGCTGGGGTCATATTCTTCCTTTCCATCTCTTGCTCTCATATAATGGGTAGGGGCTGTTTTGCTCCATAGTTCTCCCTCCTTCCAGCTTTGGGGGCCCTGCCCCCTCCATTAGTGAGGCCTTCAGGAATGACTGAGAAGCTCTCCCCTTTAATCTATAGAAGTAATTTCATGTTTGTCTGTTTGAAATAGAAGATGAAAGGCAGTGGGGGCTGGGGGGCCTGAAGCCCAGCATGGCTCTACCTGCCCACCCCTGGTCCCAGGGTTCAGAAGGAAGGAGAGCTGGGCATCCATGGACTGAGGGTCGGCAGCAAAAGGGCCATACCCAGACCGAGTTGCCAACCAGGGCCCCTGCTTGGGCATCCAAGCCACCACTGGAAAGTGTCCTGCCACAGCATCTGCAATAAGAAACATAGAACCCTACCCTCTAGGGAGACCCAAGGGCTGAGTGAGCACCAGCCCCTGGCAGCCAGGACAAGTCTTGAAAGCCCCTGTCTGCCAGCACAGCCTGGCCAGGGCCTGAGGAGTTCCTGCTGCACTGGTTCTCTGATTGTCTGCAATGGCCACACACACTAAATGGGCCAATAAAAAGATACAGTTTCTTTTGCCTCTGGACCTGAGACCTCAAGGCTCTGTTGTGCAGTGCCCGTGAGGTTAAGTTCAGAGCATAAACTGACACACCAGGCTCTGGGAAATGGCCTGTCTCTTCAAATAGCAGCCCAGCAGTGCCATAGGAGCCCTGCTGGGGCTTTGATTTGGGAAAACAAACAGAAATGGCACCGTGGGCCCTTCGTGGCCCTCCACCCCAGGACTAGCTCAGCCGCGCTGGTGGAGGGAGCACGATCGGCCCTACAATAGCCCCAAACTTTGGGGGGAAGGGGGACAAAACAAGCTGTCTCCTCAGCCCCTCCTCCCGGGCTCCTTTTCTTACTGCAAGTGTGTTCTTGTAAAAACGATTAGATTGCAATTTGTATAATGTGGTGACCCCCAAATTCAGACATTTCACCCCTTTTCTCTGGAAAGAATGTTAAGAATGCTTCTCGGCTTCTCACTGTGGGGGGTGGGAGGGGGGTGCAGAGTCTTGGCTGTTGCACAACTTGTGTGGGAAAGGGGCTGCTGCTCAGAGCCTCAGGCCAAGACGGGAGCAAGGGCCGGGTCTGTCACTATAGAGGGCCAGACAAAAAGTCCACTCCCTTCCAACTCCTGCACACAAAGCCTGGGCCTCCAGGAGCCACAGGGCTGGGGGGCCCCCACACCAGCCTCCCCCGAGCCTGACTCCAGCAATTCTCTCTCGACACAGGAAAAGATAAAGACAGATGGGGCCGCCCCTGTGAGCCTGATGAATGAGACCAGGCTGGGGAGGGCTGCCTGAAGGAGACCTGTTCCCGCAGCCTGGCTGTGGGCGGCCTCCCCCTGGGAATCTCCAATACCTGGGCAGGAAAAGTAAGCAGAGTGCAGTCTCATCCCAGGGACCCTTGAGGGGATCAGATGAGGGAGTTGGGTCTCCCTGGCTCAACCCGCCCTGCTGCCCAGGCAAGTCCCCTGAAGCTGGAGGGGAAGGAGGAGGACAGGAACTTCCTGATAGTCAGAGAGGAGGAAATTTAACACTGACCCCTGGCCCCGCCATCACCATCTTTGTGGGGCCAGCTAACGAGGTAGGTATAGGCCTTGAAGACCCAGCTCTCCTGTCTGGGAGAGGCCTTGAGAATCCAGGCTAGAGTTGGGCACAGAGGAACAGTCCATAGCAAGCCCCCATCCACCCCACCCACCCTACCCCCAGTCTGGCACTGCAGGCCAGGGAAGCCTGGTGCCCTGCTTCACTCCCTCCCTCCCTCCCTCCCAGCTCCCTTGTCCCAGCCTACACACACCTCCCTTGGCTGTTCTCCCTGAGTTCCCAGCCCAAGCTGTGGCCCAAAGAAAAGTCCTATGCTAAAGTGCCCTGAGGGAAGATACCCCTGGCTCCACCACCTAACCCACATCTAACAATGCCCATGGCCCCCACACCATTTACAGCCACTGTTAACACACTGGGTTCCTGATGATGCTCCCTGGAGAGCCTATAGGTGCTCATTCCTGCATCTGTCTGGGTGTGAGGACACCCAATCTGGAATGTGCAACTGCAAAATGTAACAATGGCTTTTGGAGGAGAGAAAGGATGGAAGGGTGACAAATATCTCCTTTCCTACATCTCTGCCCCCAGGGGACAGATGGCCTGAAGGTATAAGCTGGGCCCAACTTAGTTGCTAAGAGAATGGGAGGTTTTTCCTCCTTTCTTCTCTTCCTTCTTTCCACCCCTCCTCCCCTCTTTTCCTTTCTTTGATCAGTAACTATTTACTGAGCACCTTCTGTATACAAGGCATTGTGCCTAATAGAAACTGCGAGGAGATGTGAGGTGAGACTTTGGAGGTACTGTCCCTTCCTCAAGGAGTTTTCAATCCACGGAGGGAGAGAAGTCTGTCATGGATCCAACTAACAACATAAGGGGTGACCTAGTGGGTACCAGAAGAGAGATGAAAGAGCATCTTATAAGGGGGACAGATAAGAGAACATTTCTGGCTGTGCATATTGAGTGATTCTTCAGTGAGTGACAGGGCTGTGACAGGAAGTGACAGGAGAGGGGGGATGGCTCAGGTGAAGGACCAAAAACAACAGAGGTGCAGGGCTGGGGCACTGGTTTGGCTGGAGGTGTGAGTGTGTGAAGGGAACAAGATGCCGGGATCTGACTCCTGGTGTGCGCTGCTCAGACAGCACAAGAGCCAGGAGGCTTTGCAGCAGGGAGTGGTTGTCCTCGCCCAGCCCACTGGTGGTGAGGGTGAGAGAATTAAAGCAGCAGGCAGGTCCTGTGTGTAGCCACAAAGTGGTAGAGACCAGGAGAAGCCCACGGAAGCTTTGCCTGCCCCAGCACCCCTAGGTGAGTGCAGAGGGCCCTTCTCAAGCACAGGCCCCTCACATGCATGTGCGTGCGTGCACAGTCCCAGCACCCGCCCGTGCACACGTGTTCAGACACAATGGCTCAAAGGCCAGGCAGCCGGGCAGCCCACTTTGTACTGCTAACAAGGGGACTGTAATTACAGGAAGGGGCAGCCGGGCAGATAAAAGGATACAAAATTTCAGCATCTGTTGCCATAAAGGGATAAGGAGAAGTGAAACGCAAAGTATCAGTTTGGTGTCAGCAGGCAGAGAGCCAATTTCAAAGAGTTCAGGGGGACAGAGGGGACAAGAAAGAA